CCCTTTCCCTCCCCCGCAGAAATTGTTGTCTTCTTTTCCATCTCCCTTCACCTCTTCTCTGGCTGGATTTTGGAACCGGGGGATAGGGGAGGTGATTCCCCCAAAGCAGGAAAAGTGAGCGCTCACTGAGACCTTGAAAATCATGCTGTGGCTCAAAAGACAAGGAGCACCCCCAGGTTTACCTCCGGGCCCCCCACCCGGGCTCCCAAGCCCAGATTCTGTGAAAGTGTGTCAGGAGGGGGCACCTGAGTGGTGGCTCGGAAGGGCAGAGTACAGCCTCTCTGGTGAGGCAGGTTCTATCCCCCCAACTCAGGGTGAGGGCTGGAGGGGCGGGGCTGGAGGGAAAGAGAGAGTGGGAGGCATGTGGCTGTGCAGGGGGTGGCTGTGCGGGGCCCTGTGCACATGGGCCACTTAGCCACTGCTTCCTGCCCGGGGTTTCCTTGGGCGAGTGGCTTACCCTCTTCACACCTCAGTCTCTTATCTGTAAAATGTCAATCGCAGCTCCCTGTTCATGGGAAACACCATGAGGCTTCGAGGAGATGATGTGCGGATCTCCCTGCCCACAGGACGTCTCAGTGGACGTGGGTTCACATTGTCTGGCTGGGGCTTCAGGCTGGTTCCCAGGGACTGCTGGGGATGGGCACAGGGAGCGATGAGGGGTGTCCTACAGGGGGCCTGGGGTGAGGGGTCCCAGTGAGAGGACAGGGAGCATGTACTAGGAGCTTGCCGTCCCGGAGGGGTGGCCGGGTGCGTGGGCGAGGGTCACACCCCTCCCCTGTTGACTTCTAAAGAGGCAGCTTGACCCCCTGCTGCCACTCGCAGCTCTGGGTAGAAGTGCACTGATATTGGGGCGCCTGAGGGGCTCAGTCAGTTAAGCGTCTGACTTCGGCTCAGGTCATGATCTCCCGGCTCAGGAGGTGGCTCCCCGAGTCAGGCTCTGTGCTGACAGCGTGTTTCGGATTCTGTGTCTCCCTCTCTCTCTCTGCTCCTACCCCACTCTCTCTCTCTCTCAAAAATAAATAAACATTAAAAAAAAAGAATTACGCCAATACTCTCCACCTTCTCACCTCAGGGTCGCTAGCAGGTCCGGGAAGCCTTGGAGAGTGTGTGATGGGGGCGGGGCCCTGTATGTGCGGCTGGTATGAGAAGTGGTTCTGGGGAACCTTCCACTGAAAACTTCTGTCCCCGTGGCAAGGCCCCGTCTGACCCTTACCTTGCTTGCTCGTCGGTTCCTAAGAGGCCTCTCCCGATGCCTGCCCCACAGCCATGGCTCTAAGTGCCAAGGATTAGGGGACAGAGGGCTGGGTCGGGGAGAAAGTTTTGAAGCACACTCGTCTTTGGGGTCAGGAGTCATGACCATCAGGGAGTAAGGCTGAGGCAGCAGTGGCTCTGCAGGGCTTCCGATGTGGTTCCAAAGCAAAAGGGACAGACCCAAGTGTCCCACACGCATCAGGAATGGGAATCCCTGCTGGGTGGTGCAGAAGCAGGAAGGCAGGTGGTGGCGGTGGCCATGGCCCGGCAGCCGTGGCAATGATGGTGATGGTGGTGACACTTGTGTCATTGTCACGGTAGCGATGGGGGCGGTTGTGGGTGTGGGAGTGGGGGCAGGGGTGGCCATACTGGTCTGGTAGTGGTGCTGGTGTCCTGGTGATGGTGGTTGGAGTATGGGGATGGTTTTGGTATCAGAGGCCGTGATGGGGACAGTCGTGGTGATGGCGATGGCCCAGCAAAGGAACATCCCCATCACAGCCACACTGTCTACAGCACGGGCAGGTCAAGGCGCCACATTATGAAATAATACTTCACACCAAATACTTAAAACCTGAAATATCAGCCCCACCAGGGCAGCTGGTATTCATGGCTGTGTCCTCAGTGCCTCCAACAGCATGTGGCACATAGTAGGTGCTCAATAAATATGTGCTGAGTGAGTACAATGAGATCAAGTCTCCCCTTGTGATGAACGCTGTGTTACCTCATTTGTTCTTCACCAAGCCCATTTCAGATTTTTAAAAACTGTTTATTCATTTTGAGATGGGGGGGTAGCAAACATGAGCAAGGCAGGAGCAGAGAGAGAGAGAGGGAGAGAGAGAATCCCAAGCAGGCTCTGCGCCTTCAGCTCAGAGCCCGATGCAGGGCTCGATCTCACGAACTACGAGATCAAGACCTGAGCCGAAATCAAGAGCCGGACGCTTAACTGACTGAGCCACTCCAGTCCCCCTGACATACACAGAGCTTTTTTTTTTTTTTAATTTTTAAAAATGTTTTATTTCTATCTGAGAGAGAGAGACAGTGTGAGCAGGGGAGGGTCAGAGAGAGATGGAGACACAGAATCCGAAGCAGGCTCCAGGTTCTGATCTGTCAGCACAGAGCTCGACACGGGGCTTGAACCCACAAACTGTGAGATCATGACCTGAGTTGAAGTCGGACGCTTAACCAACTGAGCCACCCAGGTGCCCCCACACAGAGCTTTTTAAAAAGTTCCCACTTGAGGGGAGTCTGGGTGGCCCAGTTGGTTAAGCATCTGACTCTTGATCTCAGCTCAGTTCTTGATGTCAGGGTTGTGAGTTCAAGCCCCGTGCTGGGCTCCATGCCCAGCTCCAGCATGGAGCCTACTTAAAAAAAAAAAAAAAAACCCACTTGATAGATGAGGACACTGAGGCTGAGAGAGATGACACACCCACCTAAGACACCCAGAACTGAGTGGTGGGGAGGGGGTAGGGTGTGTCGGCGGTACAGCCAGGCCTATCGGACTCTCTGTTCATTGCTCTTTCGCCTCCGCAACTGACCCCCCCACCCCCACCCCGCCGGCGGGCTCTTCGCATTACCTTGTGGTCTTGCACTCAGGCTTAATCATAGAGATACCGCTAATAATAGTAACAATTGCTGTTTGTAATTGTTTGAGTAGGGCTTTAAATGATCAAGACCATGGAAATTATTAATAACCCAGGCCCAGCTATGGTAGTGTGGGTCATATTAAATCGTGTCGAGATGGATAACCTGAGCGATAATAGTAACCGGGATCATAAATTAATAACAGGAGTATTTAAATTAATGCCACACTGTCGATACCCTCGGTAGTAAGCGGCTGTTCGTACTAACTAACGTTGGCCCTTCCTGCCTTCCACGAACTCAGCCGAAAGGAGAGGCAGGGCTCTAAAAGCTGCTGGAGGAGGAACCAGTTCAGAGGTGTCCCTGTTGGGGAGGAGGGAGTCTTCGGGGATTTCTGCTGGGGGGCTAACTGCCTGGTCTCCTGAACAGCCATGGAGGTGGTGTCTCGTCCACACTCAGGCCCAAGGACACAGCGATGCCCCCCTGCTCCCTCTGAGGCTGCCCCCCGCACTTTGTTGGATGCGCAGGAAAGATGCTCACACGGCGGATTTCCACCCCCCCCCCCCCGCAATGAATGAAGAACTTAGCTTCAGCTGATCTAGGGAGTCACCTCCCAACTGCTTCGATACTCTTCACAAGTGCACTTGATCTTCCCCCATTCCTGTAATGTGGGAGGGCAGTACTGTTTTGTTTCCTAAGTCAAAGCTGAGGTCCACACATGGCCAAGATCAGGGTGTGGGGATGGGCTTTGTAGCCACTTAAGTGCTCCTTACAAGCTCCCTGTTCCATGGCTTCCTTGTCTGGGAATCAGGAAAGCAGGTCGGGCAGGCAGTAGGTATTGAGGTGGGTACTTCCGGCCGAGACTGGTGGCGCCCTTCTTGGGTTGGGGGAAGTTGGGGGGGGGGGGGGGGGGGGGGGGGGGGGGGGGCGAGGGGGGGCCTGTGATTGGAACCTGCTCTAGTTTCTAGGGCATGGTGAGTGTGGCCCTGGGGTTGCTTACATAGTACATGATTTGTGGATATGAGTCTGTCCAACCCTGTTTCCTCGTATACCCTTCTACAGACCTTTACTGAACCAGGGATTCAGGTAAGAAACGGAAGTCCTCGCCGGCTGGGAGCTCCTAAGCCAATGGAAACACTCACGGTCCAGTGTGGATACATGCGCGCTTGCACATGGGTGTGTGTGTGTGCTCCTGGACGTGTGAGCACCTGTGTGAAAGACTGTACACGTGGGGGCTTGTGTGATGACTTCTACGTACACGTGCATGTGTGAATGTGCAGGTGAGTACGTGTGTTTGAATGTTATGACCACAAGTGCAATGAGTGTGCTCCTGTGCGTGAGCGTGTAGGTTCACACGCATGTGTAGAAGGCACAGGTTTACGTGAGTGCGTGAGGATGGAGTGGACGCATGAGCATAAGCCCATATATATGTGAACTTGAAAGCGTGTGTATTCCTGTCATCTCGTGTGCACACCTGTTACCCCTTCAAACCCATCTTTTGAGGATTCAAAACCATGAGGATGGACTCCACCTTGAATGTCCCTGCTGCCCACTGTTGGGGTCAGACCACCTGCTACTGCTCCCTTCCCCTTCCCCTAGGCCTCTGCACTGGGAAGGGCCGGAGGTAGGGATCGGGTATAGACCGGGATCAGGTATGGACCGGGAGACGAAGGCAGCGGGCATTCTTGCTGATAACGGCTGGGGAGGGAGCAGAGTCCCCGGGGGAGAAGCTGAAGCTGGAGGCAAAGGAAGACGGGTTAGAGAGTGACCCCTGCGGGGTCCGCAGCCCGGAGGAACGGGAGCCGCAGTGGGGATGCCCTGGTCCCTGAGCCCACAGCATCCGGGAGCGACACGCCGTAGCGCGGACCCGGCCCTGGGTACCAGGGCGGAGTCGGGAGAGGCTCCGAGGGCCCCGGCGCGCAAGAGCGGCCGCGGGGCGCGCGGGCGCGCAGCTCCCCGCAAGCCCTCCCTTCCCCTCCTCTACCCTCCGGGAGGCGGCGGGGCGGGCGGGCGCGGTTCCGGGGGTGGGCGGGCTGGGCGGGGAGGAGGCGGGGCCGCCGCACTGGCTTCTCCCGGCCCCTCCCGCCGGCAGCCAGAGCGAGCGGAGCCGCGGCCAGCTGCGGGGGGCGGGCGCTGGAGCGCAGCGCGGCGCAACCCTCTCCGTCCGCGGAGCGGACTCCACTAGAAGCCGAGCGCTGCTGCGGGAGGCGGGCGATGGGGGCAGGTGCCGCGGGCTACGCCATGGACGGGCCGCGCCCGCTGCTGCTGCTGCTGTTGCTGCTGCTCCTGGGGGTGAGTGCTAGCCGGAGGGGAGCCCGCGCCCTCTCCCCGGACGGGTACCCCAATGGGCTCAGGTTCCGCCAAGGGAACACAGAACGGAGCGATTGGGGGGGAGGTCCCAGATACCGGGGGTGGAGGGCAGGAGAGGAGCTCCGATGCCAGGATCCGCGGAGGGCAGGATCGCGCAGAGGCGACCCTGAGACCGAGGATAGAGATGCGGGAGAGAGGGGCGCAGGGATGCGGGTCCTCAGGTACCGCGGAGGGTGTGTACGGCAGAGCTGAGAGGGGCTCTCTCGGATGCCTGCGTCCTTCTGAAGAGGGCGCTTGGATGCTGGGATCTCGAGGCGACTTTCCCCCTGAGCATCTTGATCTCTGGAGGCTCGTGGGACGGAAGGAAGAGGAATGGCACGGGAGTTGGAGATGTGGGGGCCAAGCGGGGCTGGGGCGGGGAACTGGAGACGAGGAGATAGAACAATGGGGGAGGAGGTTGGAGGGACTGGAGGCAGAGGGGACCGGGCATCGGACAATGAGGGCCTGGGCAGACAATGGGGGGGAGGGGCGTGGGAGGGAGAGCTTCGGGGAGCCGGGGTCGGTTGCAGAGAGAGAAGTGGGTTAGGGAGGGCAGAAAACGGAGGACAGCGAGGGAGACAGAGAGATGCAAGCAAACTGAAAGAGGACGGAGAAGGGAGAGCGGACCCTGAAGTGCTCGGGGGCCCCGCCTGCCCGCCGAAGGACCGCGGGACGAGCAGACAGAGCGGAGGGACGGACGCTTCCCGCGCCTGTCGCGTGCTCTCTTGCGCGGCCTCGCCCAGTCCAGGAAATGCGGCTGGGGATCCGGGGCTGGGGAGGGAGCGCCCACTTCGCGGGGGCGAACCTGTTCCCTGGTTCGCCTACGACCCACGGGCTCCTCCGAGGCGCTTGTTTTCGCGGTTTGAAGCAGCGCCTAGGGCCGAAAGGGATGGAGCAGACATCGTGCGATCCGGTCTGGCCACAGCCAAGTCTCAGGGTGCAGAGCGCTGGGACTCGAAAGGCGGGGAAGGTCCCGGCGGCGCGGCGCGCAGCCCCGGGTCGCGCTGGCCGAGGTGGCCCACAGGGGGCGCTGAGCTGCGCCGGCTGTGCCACCCGCAGCTTCGGGCGCGCCTAGGGCTGCGCGCCGCGCCCCCATTCGGACCCCACTGAGTTAAGCAACCCGAGCGCCGCGCCCGCAGCTCGCTGGGCTCCAGCGCCCAAACGGGTCTGGATTCCACCCATGCCCCGCCCAGCGTTCGGTGGAAGACGCTGGGCACTGAACGAGACGGAGGCGCTCAGGTGCCTCGGGTCCTGCCTCCGCATAGGACTGCGGGTCCTCTGAAGCATCTAAGTCCGTCTGGTAGTCCCAAGATATTCAGGCGATGTGACCTGTGCAGGCCCATGAACGGAGCCGAAGACGTGTCCTCACTCCCCCGTCGTCTTCGTCTCTCATCTGAGCCTTGCATCCCAAGCCCCCATTTTACAGGAAGGAAGACTGAGAGGTTCTGAGAGTTTAAACGACTTAGCCGAGATCTCACAAGCAAGTTAGACCCCGGTGCTAGCTAAACCGTCCCTCACCTGATTCCCAGCTCGGTCCCCATACCTCGGAAAGGGGGGCAGCTCGGCGTCCCAGCTCTTTTCTCCGCGGGGGAGGGCTTGATACCATCCTCGGAGTCGTGGGCGGTGGAATGTGGGGGCCACGGTGGGCAGAGACCCTCTCCGGGCACTGGCGAAGCTCAGCCCCTTGGAGCTGTCAGCACCTGTGGCTTCTCCGGAGATTTGGGAGCGACTGTGGGCATGTTTGCTGACTAACGCGGCGGGTCAGAGACGCATCTTGACTTGAGGGGTGGGACTGGGGCGGCCAGTAGTGCAGAGCTCAGAGGGGCGAGGGCGTGGGCTCCAGATCAAGGCTGGAGAGAGTGTCCCCCCAGTAGAGAAGAGGCGAGGAAGGAGGGGAGCTGGGCGGGGAGCGCCTGGGAGTTCGGGACGGTGGACCCCGCGCAGAACGCGCGGCCGAACCGCCCGCGGCTCTGGCCTCCGCCTCGCCCCCGGGCTGCTCTCTCTGCGCCGGCTCTGCGCACCGCCGCGGTCCGAGTTTCTTCCTGGGCCGCGGCGATAGAGTGCTGAAACCAGAGCGCATCCCGGCGGCTCGGCTGGCGGGCCGCGCCGGTAATGGAGGCATTTTGTCATTCAGACGTCTGTAACCGGAGCCGCCGGGCCGGCTAATGCGCCTAATAGGGATGCAACGAGGGCAGCAAATGCGAGACCAGAGCGGCAGGGCGGGGGGAGGCGGCTCCGGGCTGGAGGGGGTCCCCACCCCCCCTGAACCAGCCGGGGTCCATTCACACGCCTAGATTCTGCCCGGGGGCTGGGCGGTGGGGAGGTGGGAAGAATCAAATTGGTCCAGTGCCTACTTTTGTGCCACGCACTGCCCTGGGTCATTTCTATTGTGTCATTTAATCCTTATAAGATCCCAGCAGAGTAAATCTAGTTATTCCCAGTATACAGTTGAGGGAGTTGAACCGCCCAGACTTTCAGGCATGAAACCGGGCTACCCCGGGCTCCTAAGTGGTGGCGCCCTTGTTGGAACCCGGGATGCTTGGCTTGGAGTTTATTCTGTCCGGAGTGTGCCAGGCTCCTCGCCCCGCCCCCCCCCCCCCCCCCAGCCTTCTAGATCGCGGAGGGTCACTGGTCCTTAACCATCACAAGCCCTGAATATTAGATCTATGTCTTAGGTCCTTGGTGCCACAACTTTGGAACTGAGGCCCTGCACTGCCTCTCCCCGTGCCCCCCCCCCGCCCTGCCCCTCTCAGTCTTCATGCAGCACCATCCTCAGTAAGTAGCTCTTGTCTCCTACCCTAAATCCAACCTCTATCTGAAGGCATGAAGCGCATGTGCCAGCGCCTCTCCTAGGTTTGCATCGACCTCAAAAGACCCTCCACGTATGTGCACTCTCCAGCCCCATGGCAACGGCCCCATTCACCTAAGGACCCCTTTGCTGAAACTGCTGTGAATGGTTAGGGCTCATCATTCGGAAGCAGTCATATGGTTTCAAATTCTTTGAACTCTTTAGTGTGCTTTCTGTTTTGTCCAATTAAAAAAAAACATTTTAAAATCTCTATTCATCTCAGGGTGAGCCCACCTTAGTTTTTAGAAAGGCTTGAGATGGCAAAAAGATGGCAAACATTCTCGAAACTGGGATGACATCATTCCATTAAATTGGAAATGAATAAACATGATAAATGTACATTTCAGGCAAATGTGTCGATCATTTTGGTAAAGTGATCATTTTGGAGCAAGAAGCCTGAATCCTAGTCATTCCCAATATCGCCCTGCGTTGGACCCAGCGAGGGTGTGGCACGGGCCATGAGTCATGCCACTTGGGAGAACGGCCTCTGCCAGCCTCAGTTTCCCCATCTGTCAGAGAGGAGATGAAGGCAGTCCCTCAAGTCTTTCCCTCTCAGCATCTCGGCTTCTGATGTGGCTGTTTTGAGTGAGATTTCCTCTCCCTCAGGGGACTGTGACTTCCCCCAGGGGTCAGAGGCCGTGTGTCTTTGGAAACTCTCTTAGTTCAATGCTCGGTCAGTAGCTGTTAACGAGTACCTAGTTGTTAATCACTCAGCTATCTGTAAGGGGAGCAATTCCCATCCTCCTTTGGTCCCTGTGCCCTCTTCAGACCCTTCCTGGTGGGTGAGTCCTTCTTCATGCCTATCCCGCCCCCTCCTCTTAGTCGTTTCCTCTCTTTGGGCCCCACCTGCAACTCTCCCCTCCCACTTGGGCTCAACAGCTCAGCCTCAGACAAGACGCTTCTGCGATAACCGACGTTTGCTGAGCTCCTACGATACGCCGGACAGACTTGCGTAAATTATTTCGTGTAATTTTCATGGCGACCCTGAGCCGTAAATATTATGAAGCCAGTCTTTCGGGTGGGAAAATGGGGGGCTCAGAGAGACTGAGAATTGCTCCAGAGAAGCATCCTGTTAAGTAGCGGATCTGCGGTGTTTTGAAATAGGACACACAAAGCAGGCCCGGGGAACGCATGGGCACTAGTGATGTGGCTTGGAATCCGAATGCCAGACTTGAGAGGAGAGAGAGCATCGCAGGCTGTGGCAGGGTGGACCAGCCTCGCAGAAGAGATGCTTGAGGAAGATGCTCAAATGTCACCGACGGACCCCTCAGCGGGCCCGGCTCTCTGCTCACCTCAGCCAGCTGGAGCTCAGCCAAAAGCCACAAAAGCAGCAAGAAAGACCTTGGAAAAGATTTTTTAAAAAGAGGGGGGGGCATCTTGAAGTGTATAAACACCTTCCCTTAATGCCCACAGCAATGTCATGAGGCAGGTGCTGTCACCACTTCCTATGGATGAAGGAACTGAGGCACAGAGAAACTTAAACCTGTCCCGGATCACCCAGCTCTAAGCGATCGATGAGCCAGGATTCAGAGCGGTGGCGACTGCTGAGGACGAAGGCAGCCGTATAGCTTACACTTTTCCCTCGATGAACGGCCCCCTCCGGGCTCAGATCCTACCTCCACTCTCATTTTATACCTCCCTACCCAGGCTGGTTACATGCTTTCCACAGATTCAATTAGATCTAATAAGTTAGGGTGGGAGGGAGGGGCTGCTCAGGTCACACTCTGGCGGCAGCAAAAATTGACAACTGATATCTTGACAGGAAGGAGTGAGGCAGAAACACTTAAAAAAAAAAAAAAGGCTGACAGAAGAACTCAGAGACGAGAGCGTGGTGATTTGGGATAAAGACAGGAGGCGTTGAGTGCAGTGCGGCCCAGAATAATCACTGGTGTAAGCACTGAGTTCCCGGGGCATGGGGAGACTGTGAAGGTATGTTCTGGAGTCAGGCGGGTGCAACCATCATGGTTGAAATGAAAAGCCTTAGGGGCGCCTGGGTGGCTTAGTCGGTTAAGCGTCCGACTTTCGCTCAGGTCATGATCTCGCGGTTCGTGGGTTCGAGCCCCGCGTCGGGCTCTGTGCTGACTGCCAGCTCAGAGCCTGGAGCCTGTTTCAGTCTGTGACTCCCTCTCTCTCTGACCCTCCCCTGCTCATGCTGTCTCTCTCTCTCTCTCTACTAGAAATAAATAAAACATTTTTAAAAAAATGAAAAGCCTTAGGCGATTAGAGCAACAAATCCTTTTGGGGAAATTCAGCTATCCAGAAAGTCATGCCCCTCCCCCCTTCACCTCCCCCCCCCCAGTTCTAGTTCACTAAGGTCATATTGTATTTTCATGTTCTTAGATTCCACAAATGCACATGTTGAGTCCCTACCGTGTCCCAGGCGCCGGGACCGCCACAGGGCTGCCCTCAGGTCGCCGTTAGTCCTGTAGGGGACTCTGTAGGCGAGAGCAGTGACCAGCAAGAATTCTAACAGGGCAGCTCCCACCTGATCTGAGAGGGGCAGGGGCCACAGGGCCACTTCCTTGAAGAAGTGACATTTAAGCAGAGCCCTCGAGGATGAAAAGAAATCCAAACAGACCCTCTGGAATCTGGCTCTCCTCCTGGGGGAAAGCCTGCATCTGGGATCCCCCCCCCGCCCGCCACTCCCACCCCTCACGGTTTCTGGTCTGCAGATGTTCCCGGATCTGTGTTGCTACCACCGGGGAAGGGATGGTGGTGATATAGGGTCCCCCTCCTATGCCGCCTGCACCCTCCCTGCTGGTCTCTTGAAAACCACAACCTGCCTCTTAGACTTATCGAACCTGTCCATCCCTCTCCTTTCACCAACTCCTAGGGAGACCTCAGACTATTTTAGTTTTGTTTTTTTTTTAATGTTTTATTTATTTCTAGGAGAGAGAGAGAGAGAGAGAGACAGCGTGAGCAAGGGGAGGGTCAGAGAGAGAGGGAGTCACAGACTCTGAAACAGGCTCCAGGCTCTGAGCTGGCAGTCAGCACAGAGCCCGACGCGGGGCTCGAACCCACGAACCGCGAGATCATGACCTAAGCGAAAGTCGGACGCTCAACCGACTAAGCCACCCAGGCGCCCTGAGACTATTTTAGTTTTGAAAGTTGATGTATTTGTTTTTGAGAGAGAGGGAGTGGGGTGGGGCAAAGGGAGAGGGAGACAGAGAATCCCAAGCAGGCTCTGCACTGTCAGCGCAACGCCCGATAAAGAACTCGAACTCGTGAACCCCGAGATCATGACCTGAGCGGAAATCAAGAGTTGGGCGCACAACTGACGGAGCCACCCAGGTGCCCCTAGACGTCAGAATATTTGACAGGGCTGGAGGGAAAGGGAGTCTCCTGGGCTATGATCTGGCCAATGTGGGAGCAGAGGAATATCCAAAATGACCCTTAACCCTCCCCTCGAGTCCCATGACCCCAGAGCCCATACTTCGTCTTGGCATCAAATGAGAGCTGCATGGGCTGAGGCTGGGAAAACAGGCTCTGGAGTTTTATTAGACGTGAAGAATTTTTTTTTTTTTTTTTTTTTTTAAGGACTAGAAACATAAAGCAAGCAGCCAGCACTAGCCCCTCCCCCCACCCCAGGGAATCTGGTGCTAAATCGTTCCATCCACAAGCAAAGAGCAAAGATGCCTCCGTGGCAGGAATCTGACTCCCCTTTCCCCTGGTTCCAGCGCGGTTACCACTGGCTGCATGGGGCGGGGGACAGGAGACGGGAGGGCTGGTGGCTGGAAATCAAACGCCGGTGGGCAGGGTGGCTGGATGGTGAGAGCAGCCACGTTTTCATCGTCAATAGTAGGCGTCCCTTTCTCCCTTCTCGGCGCCAGACTCTCGCCAGTTGGCCCCTTTCTCTGCTCTGGCCCTGAGCGGTCTCTGTCGCCATCCTTGAGGAGAGGTGACAACTCAGGGAAGGCAGAGATGGTCAGAGCTCCGGCGCAGAGTCAGAACTTGAACCCAAGACCCTACCCCCTCTGCCTTCTGTTCTTGGATACAGACACCTTCCCATTTAATATTTAATAGGTGGAAAGGTAGAATTAAGGCCCTGGAGCAGGGCCCTGCTACAGCCTTTGTTAGAAAAAGGCTCCCCTCTGGGTAGGTGGCGGGCAGGTGTGCGGTCTCAGCAGGTGGCATTGGGGCTGGATTTTGGCCTCCAGGTGCCCCCGTTGCACGGGAGCCCCGTGCTAATGGCTGCCGTACCTGCCCAAAGGCCCCACTGCTGCCTTCCCCATGGGGCGCATCCTTGGGATTCCAGAAGTTGCCGCGACCCCAAGATGAACCCTGCGCAAAGTCAGCATCCGGGGCTCTGACCTCACACCAGCAGCAGCCTGCGGGGGGCGCAGTGTACCCCCCCCCTTTCTTCCCCGCCAGCTTTGATGTGCCTGAGGCCTGCGTGGTGAGCTCATCCCCGGCCCAGGTGGTTCCAATAGAAGGGCTTTAGGAGAGGGTGTTTGATCCCTCAGAAGACACCCTCTCTCCCTTCTCTTGCCAGTCTGACCTTTCCCATCTCCCCCCACCCAGGTGTCCCTTGGAGGTGCCAAGGAGGCATGTGCCACAGGCCTGTACACGCACGGCGGCGAGTGCTGTAAAGCCTGCAATCTGGGAGAGGGGGTGGCCCAGCCTTGCGGAGCCAACCAGACCGTGTGTGAGCCCTGCCTGGACAGTGAGTGCAGGGTGGCGGGCGAGGGGAGGCGCGGGTGGGCACATCAGCTGGGGGGAGCATGCCCACATCGGCGTGGGTCTGACCCAGTATAGGAGGCGAAGGGGGGAGGGGAGGCTGAGAACGGGAGAGGGAAGGATGCGGAGGGAGGAGGGGGACCCTCTGAGGAGGGATCCCCAGGGGGTGCCCCTTCCCAGCCCCCGCCCCCCCCACCCCCCGGGGCAGAGAGGCCTGGTAGAAGAATGTGGCCAGGTGGGAGGCGTAGCTGATGCTTCGACCAGCTAAAAATATCATCTGCACTGCAAAATCAATGGCTGCCACTTACCCTCCCCGTGTTTGGGGGGAGTGGGGGAGGATCACATCCTGGCTGCCCTGGAAACTGACCTTGGGGGATCCTGGGAAGGTGTGGGTACCCCCGCCCCCAGGCCGACTGTTCTCCAGCTCTCAGCTAGGAAGCAGCGCTTTCCAGAGAGTGTAGGAATGGGGGCTGGATCACCGTCGGGATGTCCTTCTCACCATGGGCTGGTGTCAGAGGGGAGAGACCTGCTGTGGCCTGTCCTACCTAGGATTTCCCTGGGGAGAGGGAGAGAACCCCCCCCTTTCCCAGGGCTGCTGGGTAGGGGATTAAGAAGAATGGCAGGGCTGGGGCCTGAATTCTGGGGCTTATGACCCAGGAGCCTCTGTCACTGGGGGAAGCCCCCAGCCTCAGTTGCTGCCTTCAGGCCATGGGCTCAGTGCTCTCTTCCTGCCCAGAAACCTCTCCTCACTGCCTAGATTCCCATCCTGCCTTCTCACTGCCCACCTGGAGGGCCGGTGGGAACCATACCAGATTATTCTTTAAAAAAAAAAAAAAGTTTATTGATTCATTTTAAGAGAGAGAGAGAGGGAGAGAGAGCAAGCAGAGGAAGACAGAGAGAGGGAGAGTCCCAACAGGCTCTTCTGTACAGTCAGCATGGAGTCCGACATGGGGCTGAATGTCGCGAACCGTGAGACCATGACCTGAGCCGAAATCGAGAGTCAGACGCTTAACCGACTGAGCCACCCAGGTGCCCTCAGATTATTCTTTAATCATGATGAGGTTCCGGAATGGGGAATTCTGAACCCACCTGCCTAGTCTGACCTCTGGATGCCTCTCTACCACCACCACCACCACCACCATAGCGCGCGCGCGCGCACGCACACACACACACACACACACACAGCCTATCAGGCAACGCCAACTCCTTGGTGTCCCCAAACCCAGTTTTCCTCTCTCCGTGCCTGTGGCTCCTGTAACTCCATCCCGCAGCAGGGGGATGCCTGGGCCTAAGGTGGAGAGGCTAGACACCCCGTAATGTCTTTTGCCACCTGCCCTGGCCTAACAGAGTCTCCATCCTGGGGGGGGGGGGGAGGAGGGAGTGGCCAACCATCGGCTACCCTGGAACCTCCCGAGGTTGCCTCTCTCATTTCCTAGACCCCTGCCTAGTGCCTCTCCTCCCTGGCCCCAAGTCTCCCAGGATGGGACACCACTCCCTTCTGTAGAGCAGGAGGTAGGGGAGAGGAGCCTGGGACCGGGAGGGACTGGCATGTCGGGGGAAGGGGAGACAGGAGCAGAGAGCAGCAGGAGTAGACCCTACCGTCTGCTTTCTCCGTTCTCCTGCGGCCCCCCCTCCCCCGCCCCAGCTGTGTTAACAGGCTGCCTTTATAAGCTCACTTTATGGGACGGAGACCCCAGCGGACTTTCCCTCTATCCTCAAAACGTTTCCACAAGGAAACCCATTAAGCTCCTGCCTTCATTCTCTGCCAAAAAAGACCACATTTTCCCCACCCCCTAAAGCCCTCTCCCAGGAGTTTTCTACTACTCACTTTCTGTATTTTCCCATGGGCGGGGCCCCTCCTTCCCCTCCCCCCTCCAGTGTGGTTAAAACCTGCCCCCCCCCACCCCGCCACATGCCAACCAGATAGGACCCTCCCGTTTGCATAAACTGGACATCTTGCTCGACTGTTTATGTTTGGAAGTCCCTTCTGCTGACCATATCCCCGCTACTGAAGTTCATGGGGTTTACCATTGCCCGCCTCAGGGGGCCCAACCTTCGTAGGATCCCTGCTGTGTGTCTAGTGCTTTATGGTAGAATTTCACATGTACTCCTCACCACAACCCTGTGAGTGCAGATATTATTCTCTATTTGACCGAGAAAGAAAAAAGTGCAGAGAGGTTAACTAAAACACCCAGGGTCACACAGCTTGTAAGTTACAGACGCAGGCTTTGGGTCCAGGTCGGCCCCATCCTGGGGAAGGAGGAACACAGGTGTTCCTCTGCCAGGACTGACTTGAACCTGGTCTCCTTTCAGGTCCAGCTCTGGCTTGTCTCTCCCTTCAGTTTCTTTCCCTTTCATTTGTCTCTGCTTTTCTTTCTCTGCTCTTGCATCCCCACCTCCACGCCAAAGATCGTGACCCTGTGCTCCATCTGGGCTCTGGATTCCTTTAGAGGTTAAGATCAGAATTGCAGGCCTCGATTCCCCCCTCCAATGGGGAAATCCTGTCTTCTGCTTTCACATTCTGAACGCTCCCTCCTTCCCTGGTTCATGGCTCCCGCGGTTCCTAAATTCTGCTCTTGCTGCCCTTGAAGCAAGGATGAATCCTCTCGGATTCGGAATGGCACAGAGCTCCGCACCTGGGCCGGCAGGGGTGAGGAAGATTTGGCTCTGTGCCTTCCCCTCCTCGCACGCGGAGGAGACCCTGGCGTCCGCTGGCGTCCCTCCCCTTATTGGGTTAGAGCTCCCATCCATTAAGAGCATGAGTCAAGAGTGAGCCTGGAAATCTCTCCTTTGTGCCACGGGGAAGGGCAGAGGACTATATGGGCAAGTCCTTCTGGCTTTCTAGCTTCCATCCCTCCTGCTGTTGCCTTGTCAGAAAGCCCATCCCCACCCTCAAGAGCCAAGCCCTTCAGCAGCGTGGGGTGGCGCCACGGATGGGAAATCCTGCGGTCTAGCCCTAGGCAGGCCACACCTGAGCCCCCACCTGCGAGCAGAGGGATGGAGGGACAGCCGGGGTGGGAGGCGCACCAGTGAAGTCCCGCCCATGCCTGGGCTGGGTTCACAGTCCAGCTCTGGCCCGCGGGGAGGGCTGGGTGGGAACCACGCTCAGATTATTCCTTAATCAGGCTGGGAACTAGGGGACAGGGCTGGGAACTCTCTAAGAGAATGTGCCAAGAAATTTACCAGCTCCATCCGCGGCCCTGGGCTCCCTTCCCCCTTCAGCTGCCTGGAGCTTTCACAGACCCGGGACCCCCAGGAGGAGTGTGGGGCTCAGTGAGGGGCCTCTGCGGGAGGGCCTCCAGCCCCCCACGTCCCAGGTGCCCAGAGGGCAGGTCCCCACCCTGCCCTTCCATCACCCCCATCCCGCCCTTCCATCTGCCCTCAGGCGTGACCTTCTCGGACGTGGTGAGCGCCACGGAGCCGTGCAAGCCGTGCACCGAGTGCGTGGGCCTGCAGAGCATGTCGGCGCCGTGCGTGGAGGCCGACGACGCCGTGTGCCGCTGCGCCTACGGCTACTACCAGGACGAGACGACGGGCCGCTGCGAGGCGTGCCGCGTGTGCGAGGCGGGCTCCGGCCTGGTGTTCTCGTGCCAGGACAGGCAGAACACCGTGTGCGAGGAGTGCCCCGACGGCACGTACTCCGACGAGGCCAACCACGTGGACCCGTGCCTGCCGTGCACCGTGTGCGAGGACACCGAGCGCCAGCTGCGCGAGTGCACGCGCTGGGCGGACGCCGAGTGCGAGGGTGAGCGCGCCGCGGGCAAGGGCGCCCCCTAGGGGGTCGAGATGGGCCGAGCCGGGCCGGCCCGGGGGCGTGGGGCGGAGCTCGGTGGTCTTGAGCCCGCCGCCACCCTCCCTGAAACCCCAGGCCCAAAGGACCCCCTCGCACTATTTCCTTGTGCTGAGTGTTTAGAAGGCTCTCTTGCTACCCTCAGGCCGCAGCTACCACACTGGAACCCCGTTTCCCCGGCTCATTCATCTGTGGGTTCCGATGGGCAGCACATAAGCAACTCAAAGCTGGCCTCCAGGCCAGTGCGGGACATGTTTGGTCCTTGAGCAACCTCTCTGGCCTGGAAAGGGGGCTTGAGGCCCCTCAGGAGCTGGGGCCTTATGGCTCTGAAGCCTGGTCTAGGTCCAGAGTGGTTTGTGGCTCTGGGGACCCAGGGTGGATTTGTCCTGTCGTCCTCGGGGTGATGGTAGGGAGGTCACCCTTGTCTCTGGACCCCGGTTTCCTCATCGGCCCTGCAGTTTCCAGGGATGGGGTTAGGGAAGGTGGCTGGCCCACGCAGCCTGTGACGTCTGGGGGAGGGGTCAACAGTCATTGGTACCATTTGGCCCAGGATGACGCTGGACTCCGGGAACACTGAGGAGAGGTGGTGGAGGCAGAGGAGGCAGGCCTAGGGCTCAGGAGCCCAAGGACAAGGCAGGGCGCTTATGGAGGGCCAGGGTCTCCAGGGGGGATGGGAACTGGGCGCACCCACCCTGCTCAGGCATGGCGCCCCATGGAGATGGCGCAATTTGTGAAATGGGAGGAGGAAGCCATGTGGCAGTCAGGGCAGACCTGCTTTGGCTTCTGGTTGGTGACCTCCATCTCGGGGGAGACGAGGCTTTTCTACTGCAGGGAGAGGTTGACGGTGCCTTCACCTTCACCTTCTGTCCATCGCCCTGTGGCTGGGCACCCCTTTAGCTACTTTCCTTTGGGCACGCTCACCCTCGCACTCGGCGTGAACCCCAGGGTTCACGGGGGAGAGACAAGCTTTGCCTCATTCTGATGAGGTAGACACGGTCCCAGCATTGAGTTCCCGGGAGGGCCCCCATTATGGGTGAGGCAGTGCAGCCCCTGCCCTTCATGGGGAGGGGGGGTAGATGCCCTGCTGTGGACAGCATCCCTGGCTCCCACATCCTGTCATCCCTGGCTCAGGGAGCTCATGGTGGGGAGGGTGGTTAAACATGGGCTGAGACCAGGTATGTGTGCGCACACTGGGGTTGGGAGGGGGTGTGGAGGGAGGGAGGAGGGGGCACAGAACAGAGTGATTCCGGTGGCGATTGCCCTCGGCCAGGAGACAGGCAAGTGGCGTCTGGCACAGCGCAGAGCAGGGAGGGCGTCTCAGCAGCGGGTAGGCGGGCAGCACGGTTCACGGGCAAGTCTGGACTGGCTGGTGGGGGCACTTAACGGGTGCGGCGAGAGCAAGAGAGGTGGCGGCTGGGGGAGGGGTAGGCCTTCCCTCCCGAGGCGTTCACACAGCCCTCCCAGATACCACCCTCCTGTCCCAGCCATCCTGAAGGAAGGGGGTGCCCCTGAGCGCTGCGGTCATCCCTGGCCCTCTTCCCTTCTCTAGTCTCTGAAGGGTTAAGTGTCAGCTTGGAACAGAGAAAACATTTCAGGAAATGGAATGGGATTGTGGTTTGGTCACCCCCCACCCGTCCCCTCCAGTGCATTGTACTTTCTTGCATATATATTTCAGGTGTCAACACGGTGACTCACTGGGCCTTGGGGCAGAACACCCCCCCACCCCCTTGTCCCAGTGAAATGTGGATTTAGGAATAACCTGCTCCCTCTTTCCACCCCCAAGTCTGACAGCTCCCATTCCGGAAATGGCTGTCAGGACTCGCCAAGGGCTTAGCGGGTTGGAATGCTGTTGGACATGACTGCATCTGGATTTCATCGTGCCGTCCTCCCCCTGCCGCCCCCTCCAGGGGGGATCAGAGAGATGAAGAGAAAGTGCCCGGGACAGCCCTGTCTTAGCCCTTAATGCCCACTGTCAACGGGTCCCCTTTGAGATTTCTCGGATCTCTGTGATGGCCTGATTCACCAACTTCATACCCTCAGCCTCTGGTGGGGACGGTCCTAGCCAAGTTCTCTCTCAGCCTCAGGGCTCAGGCTGCCCCTCCAGCTTGTCCCGAGGAGCAAGAGAAGACCCTCCCCAGCCCAACACCCTGTCTGGGGAGGCCAGAGGACAGGGCTGGGTCTCCTGCACGTCCTGCCCTCCCCCCTCCCAGGACTGAGCTACGGGAGGGGGACAGATGGCAGCCCCCTCCCTAATGCCAGCCAGATGGATTCCAGATTCACATCTGGGGGCCGTACCCTTCAGAAGGTGCTGAAAATGGGGGCCTTTGAACCACCTACGTCTTGAGCCAAGGAGGCCCCTGAGACCAGTGGGCAGCTTCGACTCCGACTTGGGTGGGCAAACTGGGGGCAGGGCGGGGCCGAGCCAGGGAGCACAGAGCCTCCCCTTCACCCCACTGGCATGTGCCATCTGCTTTCCCTCCCTGCCCCAGGCGTAGGAAGTGAGGACGGATGGGGTAGGCAACTTTGCCCAGGCAGGCACCCCCCGGGCCGTCTGGAGCCCACAGCCCCTGGTCCTGTCCCTGCTGGGTGGCAGAATGGAAAATCCCACCCACTAGTGCCAGGAGGTGCCAGGGCCCCTGTCAGGGAGGCTGGCAGTGCCCTGCTGGCAAGGCACGCTCCCCTGCCCGCCCCCCCTCCCAGCAGTGGGCAGTACCTTCTTTGTAAGCCTTCTCTCCACCAGCAGTCTGCTTCTGCCCAGGGAGGGTGTGAGCTACCCAACACTGTCTTTCTCTGGGTGGCGAGAGCAGATGGTTTGGTTTGGGGGCCGCACGGGGCACGAAACAGAGACTAGCCACTGGGCGGGTTAAGGACTGGCTGGAGGGAAGCAAGCCAGCTGGCGCGCCCTCCCCTGCCCGAGCTGAGAGCTAGGGCATTGGAGACCGGAAGGGAGGCTGGGTGCCAGCTCTCGGGGATGTGGTCTGCAGGGAGGTGTCTCTCTGTCCAGACCTGGGCACCCTCATCCTTCCCAAGGGCCAGGGTGACTGGGGTGATCGGGACAAACAGGGACCAGGGAGGTTACAACATTTCCCCAGCGCATTTCCATCCAGAAGCTTCCTTGTGCGCTCTCTCTCTTTGTGTGTTTGCCTCCCCACCTGGCTTCTGGGTACCCAGGGAAAGCAGAATAGATTCCTAGGGCCACGGCTACGCCTCCGATGGAAGGGAGCTTCTAGACCATCTCTCTTCATATTCCCATTCTAGAGATGGGAGAATTGAGGTTGAGAGGTGTGTGCAGAGTCACATAGTAAGTCAGTGACAGAGCTGGAGGGGACCCAGGCACTTCTTCTCCATTGTCATGACTCACACTCACGATGTCACCCCTGTGTGCACCTGGGCACCCTACCACTGGGCTGGGGCTGGGGAAGAAGTGGAGGGGTGGGGGGTGGTGGGGGGTGGGCCCTCACTCCTGTAGCTCCTTCTCCCAGAGATCCCCGGCCGTTGGATTACTCGGTCTACACCCTCGGAGGGCTCGGACAGCACCGCCCCCAGCACAGAGGAGCCAGAGCTCCCTCCGGAGCAGGACCTCATAGCCAGCACGGTGGCAGATGTGGGGACCACAGTGATGGGCAGCTCTCAGCCCGTAGTGACCCGAGGCACCGCCGACAATCTCATCCCAGTCTATTGCTCCATCCTGGCCGCCGTGGTTGTTGGCCTCGTGGCCTACATTGCCTTCAAAAGGTGAGAGGGGGGCCGGGGGATGAAGAGCGGGGTCTTTGCCCTCAAGTAGGGTTGAACTGTGACCTTGACCTGAAAATTCAGACTCTTTTTAAACTCAGCCCCAAACGGAGGTCATCCTCACCCGCAGCTGGCCCATGCCAGGGTGCAGCAGGTCAGCAAGGGGCAGGGTGAGGGACCGTCCCTGACCTGTTCTGGCACCTGCCCCGCCCCCCTCCCACACCGCTCCCCTCCCTGACCCCCCAGACCCCAACTCCGCACAGAGCTTTCTTTACCAGCCCCCTGTGCCCTTCTCCCTCAGACCCCAATTACCCACCCACAGTTACCCCAGTGTGCCTGTGTCTCTTCCTTCCCGGGCCACACTTGGGGGGTTGTGGCACCCACATCCAGAAATTCAGGATGTGCGACACTTCTGGAAAGTGTTTTAAATGTTGAAGTGCATTTTCCATTCTTAAAAAAAAATCATCCAAGTAATACGTGCTTGTTTGGGTAAATGCAGTGCAAGACCAACGTCCTGTAAACGAAGAAACTAAAAGCCCTCTTTTATCTACTCAAACCCTGTCTCTCTTGTCCTTGGAATCTGTTTGGAATGGATCCTTTCCAGCCATTTTCTCTGCCTTTATAAACACACACACACACAGGACTTTTTATAGTTATACGTAAACACGCAAAGGGATATTTTTTTTGTTTTATTTTTTTTAAGATTTTTAAAAATGTTTTTTTATTTATTTCTGAGAGAGACAGAGAGAGAGACAGCATGAGCAGGGGAGGGTCAGAGAGAGAGGGAGACACAGAATCTGAAACAGGCTCCAGGCTCTGAGCTAGCTGTCAGCACAGAGCCCGACGTGGGGCTCGACACGAACTGCGAGATCATGACCTGAGCTGAAGTCGGCCGCTCAACCGACTGAGCCACCCAGGCGCCCCGTTTGTTTTATTTTTTTAGGCATCAGTGGGATCACACTATACAGGTGCTACGACTTACTTTGTCACTTAATCTCCCTGGGGAGAGCTTTCCTGGGGATGTACGGATTATCTGATTGCTTGTAACCTCTCATTCAGTGCCGGGGCGGGTCATAATTCATCAGAATGGGCTTCTATTGATGCACGTTGGGTTTAAGTTTTTTTCCTTATTGCTAATAGTAGAGGAAATGCTCCTAGATTTCCGTGCACACATGTGCGAGTAGTTTAGCAGGGGAGCGTGGGAGAAGTAGAATTCCTGAGAAGTCATGTATGGACGGCACTATCCATTCCATGCACGGTCATTGACCACTGGCAGCGCGTGTGAGTGCCCTGAGTGCCCATCCCCTCTCAGGGTGCTTTCAGTGCGAGGAGGGGGGAAGGGGGAGGGGCAGCGGGGGCATGGGGGGTTTGGGGAGGCGAACGTGGGGAGAAAGAAGAACCTTAGGTACCATGCTGGGGGGGGGCAGTTATAGCTGGGTCCCTACCGTGGCCCCGGCCCCACGCGCCAGAGCACAGATCCCTTAGCCACCGGGCCAGTGTGGCCCCTTGTCCCCTGAGACCCGCCCTGTCCTCTGGCTCCAGGTGGAACAGCTGTAAGCAGAACAAGCAAGGCGCCAACAGCCGGCCCGTGAACCAGACGCCCCCGCCGGAGGGGGAGAAGCTCCACAGTGACAGTGGCATCTCGGTGGACAGCCAGAGCCTGCATGACCAGCAGCCCCACACGCAGACGGCCGCGGGCCAGGGTGAGCAGTGACGCTGGGCGGGGGGCTGAGGCCGCGAGGAAGGCTAGACGGCAGGAAGGACCGCCAGAGGGGCTGCGGGACGCAGGTTGAGCACGTGGGTAGGAGAGGTCTTGCCGGTGGGGGGTGGGAACTTTGACACACTGGCGCGTCCAGGCTCATCAAGCTAATCGTCCCTCCTAGGGCTAATTACTCCCCCAAGTGGCTGCAATTAGCCTCCTGCTCCGGACTTCTGGGGGAACATGTAGTTAATTATGGACCCTAATTAGTGGCCCAGAGCCCCGCTCCAAGATACCTGCTGCACTTGAGTCTGAGGCTCAGCCTTGTCCCTCCCCTGTCCTGACTCATCATTGAGGGGCAGGGATGGGGTCACGTGGTGGGGAGAGTGCCGAAGCTGTGGGGTGACAGGGGATGTGAGGCAGCACCCCTAGGCCCCTCCGCAGCCCTGCCCCCCATTCGGGACCTCATCTTGGCCATCCCTCTGCCTCTAGGCCCTTGGGGCTTCCCCACAAGGAAATGCTTCAGCCCTTCTTGGATCTCACCCCAGGCCCCCATGCCCACCGGGGAAAAGGGGGCCTGGAGGGTGGCCCCTGACTCCCCTCTCTCCTGGGTTCTTGGCAGCCCTCAAGGGGGACGGAGGTCTCTACAGCAGCCTGCCACCAGCCAAGCGGGAGGAGGTAGAGAAGCTGCTCAACGGCTCTGCGGGGGACACGTGGCGGCACCTGGCAGGCGAGCTGGGCTACCAGCCTGAGCACATAGACTCCTTCACCCACGAGGCCTGCCCAGTCCGCGCCCTGCTCGCCAGCTGGGCCGCCCAGGACAGCGCGACGCTCGACGCCCTCCTGGCCGCCCTGCGCCGCATCCAGCGAGCCGACATCGTCGAGAGCCTGTGCAGCGAGTCCACGGCCACGTCCCCGGTGTGAGCCCACCCGGAGCGCCCCGCCCCCCCCACGCCCTGCCCCCACATTCCGATGACTGATGGCTCCAGCCAACCCCCCACAGGCATCAGAGCTGAGCTCCTCTGGGCAGGGATCTCGGAGCCCGGGCCCGTCCACCACAGCCTTGCCCTTGCTCCAACGTGGCCCCCTCGCCTCTGCTCACTCTCTCCAGTGCCAGAAGGGCCACTGCTGCCTCTCCCACCCTGCCCCTGCTCATCACATCTCAAACCTTCTGCTCCCTTCGGCACTTTGTATAGGTGGGCCAGTCCCCCTCCCCCCACCCCAGCAGGTGTCTGGTCTGGGGGGTGGGGCTGACATCAAGGATGGTGTTGGGGACCATGACAAAGCCCCGGAGACTCAAAGGGAGAGACCGAGGAACCAGAGCCATGGGCTCTACACTGTGAACTTGGGGAATGAGGGACCATCACTGTGGCCTCTGTCCTCCCTCAGCCCCTCCCCCTCCTCTCTGGCCCAAGGTGAAGATGGTCAGGGGCTTGTTAGGGCTAGGAGGGGGTTTTGAAGTCTAGTCCACCCCCACCCCTTGTTTATATGCAGGACAGTCAGGCCCAGAGAGGGAGTGACTTGTCCAAAGCCACCCAGCAATGGAGAGGCCAAATGTGGGCTGGCTCCCCCACTCTCTGAATGGCGGGGTGTGGCCCTCAGGTTTGCTTGAGGGCTGGGGGCTGGTGGGTGGGGGTGGGGTGGGGGGGAGGACAGGCAACCCTCTGGGAAATGTCTCAAAGCCAAATCCAGTCTGCCCTGCACCACCTTCAAGGCCGGTCCAGCCCCCATGGAGATGGGCTGCTTTGCCCAAGGCCTGGTCCGTGGACCCGGCTTGATCAGCGATGCATCTGATCGAGCATGGTTTGGGGCTCGTGGAATGGGGTGCTGGTTCCCCTCTGCCAGTCCCCCTCGGGCATGTGAGTGCGGCATCCGTGGTGGGGCCCAGCCTGCCGTTGCCCTCCATCCGGGCACAGACCAAAGCCAACAGAGGCAGTATCTTCTCCTGGAGCTGGCCCTGGGGGGCCAGAAACTAAGGAACCCCACCCCCCCCCCGCAACAAACATACAGAGACACACACACACAGGAGGAGAAATCCTGCTTTTCTCCATGAGTTCCTTCCCTCGGGTGGGGGCCGGCTCCTGCCCAGGGCAGCTCCCAGAGAAGCCGGGAGGGAACTGCAGTCGGCTTGCTCCCTTCCCTCGCTCCCCCTGGTTTGGCGGCCAACGACGGCGGCCTTCCCAGGGCCTGCACGCGGAGGAATGCACCCCCATCCTCCCCTTTCCCGCAAGCGTGGGTTTGGCTGGGCTCCGAAGGCTGCAATGAAGAGTGGACCAGTGTGGGAATGCAGCAAGAAGGAACAGAGATAGACTGCGGCCCACACAGGGCCTGTCTCCCAAGTTCAGAGGATCCACTCTGTCTACCCCCCCCCAACAAAGGACTGTTTGTTCCCTAGCTTGGTGCCAGAAAGGGGCCACAAGGTCTCCTGAGGTCCCTCCTGGTCTGTTCTGTTTTGCTTGATGTTGGAATGAGTGTGGCGCCCCCTCTATTTAGCATGAACGAGCCCCTGAGCCCCAAGCAGGGTGTGTCCTGATAGGCACCCCTCTCCCACCCAGGGTTCTCCGGACTCTGTGTAAGGGACTGGGGGCACAGTAAGTATATGGCGTTTCTCTGACCTCAATCTGATGGGAGGAGGGACCTCACCTGCTGTCCCCTCACCTGTGGGCCTGGAGGGCGGGACAGCATCTGAGTGTATTTATTTTCCTCCCCAGCAGCTGGGGAGGGGTTGGGGTACCGCAGGTATGTTTTAGCATGTGTTGGGTTCTGGGGCCCCTCCTGCCTCCCTTGTGCGCCCCCCGGCCCAGCTGGGGGCCGTGAGTTCCAACTCCCTGTCACGTCCCCCTTGCATCCTGTGTACTCATTTCTTGGGCCCTCCTAAAACCTACACATAAAACATAAACGATGAGCATTAAATAGCAAAGAAAGAAAAACAGCGTGAAGAGATTTTTCTGGAAATGCACGTGCTTTGAGCCAGTGGGTGGGGGGGCATTTGCATGTGTGGTGGGGACCCAGGTATAATTTCTAATTGCGTGAGTTCCTGTCCTATTGTGCCTCCCCCCCCGAAAACGGGGACTCTTCGCCGAAATCAAGCAAATTCACATGTGCAGCCATGAAATAAATTTAAGTGGGACAGGGAAGGAGTGGGGGCCCTTTGCCCCCAGATCTGGGAGAGGAAAAGTGAAAACGGCCACGCAGGAAGCTGGCCAGCTGCGAACTTGACCAGATGTCAGAAGTGAAAGTGACCACAAGGGAGCCAGAGGCTTGCGAGGGGGTGGGGGTGGGTCACAACCCTGAAGCTCCCAGCCACCCACGTGGCCTGGGAGACACACACTCATACCCACCCCCACACACACACATCCACAGGGTCTGGCTCCAGATGGCCCGGCAGGAGCCCGGCTGTTTGGCCTGCAGTCAGGCCCCTCCCTTGGCGGCTCTCTGAGGCAGGTCCTAACCTCAGCCCTTGGCAGCCTGGCCTTGAGCTCTGCCTGACCCAGGAGCTGTGGGGTCCCCGGCCCCGGGCCCGCGCTCCCCCCCGCGGCTGGCCCGGGAGCTGTTCAGAGCCGCTCGCCTCTGCTGGTCACTTGGCCAAGTCTTCCGTTGGGGCCGGCTTGGGGCTGCCAGGGAAGGCCACGGGGGGCTTACTCTTTCCAGAAAGAACAGCAGACAAACCTTTCTGGTCTTGAGATGCTGGCAGAGAGAGCCAGGTGGGGGGGCTGGAGGAGGCGGGGAGAGCTGTCTTCTCTCCGTACCCCCAGTCCGTGAGGAGGGCGTGTGGGAAGGTGTGACTCGGAGGGGGTAAGAGAACCCTCCAGCATGATGGGGGAGACAGTCTCTGTATTAAAGGAGCCTCTTCTTGTCTGCTGGAGAGAACACACCCATCCCAGACTTTGGGCGCCTCTAATCTGATGAGGGAGGTACAATTCCCATCCTAAGAGAGCCCCCCTTCTGGCAGGGGTTATGCCTCTAATTTGGTGGGGGGGGGGTAGAGCCAGATGCTGCCCGTGGGAACAAGGGAGACAGCGGACAGGCTTTGAATGGTGTGCAGAGCCGTGAGTGGGGCGCCCCAGCCCAGACCCCACCTCTACCAGGGGTCAGAGACTTGTCAGAGAAGGGACATTGAAGCTGAGCCCTTGCTGTTGCATGGAGTCAACAAGCTGGGGGCGGAGAGTCTCCCTGGCGGGGGCGCAGCTCAGCCAAGGCCCAGAGCACACAGGGAGCCCGGGGAGAAAGCAGGAGGTCAGCGGGGCCAGATGGGGAAGGGCTTACAAAGACACAGGCTAAGGAGTCTGGACTAGATTCTGGAACACTGGGGAGCCCTGGAGGGGTGCCACAGACAGACTTGCACGTGAGAAGGCACTCGCGGTGGCTGCGGTGCAGGGGGGCGGTGTAGTGGGAGAGGCTGGGAGGTGGAAGTCAGGAGTGGCCTGAAGTAAAGGGGGGCCGCAGGCGTGGGGAGAAGACGGCATCCTAAGATGAGCAGTGGGGAGGAAGCCGTTGATACTGGGTGTAGGGGAGCAGGGAGCCTTACAGACATCATACCAGAGATTTGCACCCTCTCCCTCAGCAATTGCAGAGACACCCTCTCTGCCCTCCTTCAGCCTAATCTCCATCCCTCCTTCTCGAATTCTCCCGCAAGGCTAAGAAGGCTTCATCAGCTTCCCATCTGTAACGGGGCCCTCAGAGGGCTGTGCGAGGCCTCAGCTGACTCCTCCAGGTTCACTGCCTCCATCCGGCCAACCTCATCGCCTCCTGTGTTCTTCCGTACCAGGCTTTTTACAATTCTTCGAGCTTCGACGTTCCCTTTAGCCACAGGGCCTTTGCACATGCTGTCCTGTCTGTCTGGAAGCCTTTCTCCTTCCTTCCTAAGTTACTTCCCAGGTCAGTGCTTCCTTGGTGGACGCTCTCACATACTCTAGACACAAATCGGGTTTCTTGATTCGTCCAGAGGACATTGTATTCCACTCCTTTCCTTCAGAATTCTGTGCAATCAGGTGCCGTTTGAGTGATTTTTTTGATTATTGTGAACGCCAGGAACCCAGAGACAGGGTCTGGTTTTGCTCACCTTCTAATCTTCAGCCCCTCACCTGGCATATAGCTGGCACCCAATAAAAGTGTGTTGAATGAATGAATGAACGCTCTAAAACAGCACTGTCCGACAGACATATTGGAACGTACATGATTTTAAAAAATTTCCTAGTAGCCACATTTGCAAGAGTAAAAAGGAGCAGGTGAAATGAACTTTAGCCCAATATAACCAAAGCATTATTTCACCCTATAATCAATATTTTTAAATTATTCATGGAACAGGATACATTTTTTTTCTCCTCCGTGGTTTTCAGAATTCAGTGTGTGTTTTCTTCTCACAGCATGCCTCAGTGCGGACTAGCTCCATTTCAAGTGCTCGTAGCTGTCCGTGACTAGTGGTTACCACACCGGGCGGCTCAGGTTTGGGGAGTCACACCTCCCAGACTAGGGATGCATTTGGGGCCCTCAGTGGGCTCAGGGGACAGATAGATGCTTCTTCCTGCGTTATCAGTACCCTGAGGCCTGAAGCCAAGAGTTCCCCCTCCCACCAACCCCCCTGCCTATCCCACGGCCTCTCTGTTCTCTGCTCAGGCCAGGGAACCTCCCTTTATCTCTTTCATTCTCTGGGCTAGAGGATGAGACCCTTCATCTTCGCCCACCCACCAGGGCCCCTTGTCTTCCCCTCGCGCCTCCTTCCCCTCTTTCATCCAGTTCCATGAGGCCGAGATCAGATTGGAACCATGTGAAAGACCTCTTCATCCAGTGGGGAGGGGTGAGGTGGGGCCACGGAGCCTGTAGTCCAGTGCTCCAGGGGGCGGGGCCAGAGCTGGGGTCAGGAGAAGACATTTCCCATGATGCTCCAGTTTGGGGGGGGGGCGGTCTGCTGACCATATGCCTGGGGGAGGCGACTCCTCTGATAATGCAAAGCAGATTCCTCTCCAGCTTGGTGGCAGCTGGTGGGCAGAAGGCCAGGGGACAACACTGAGCCCCCCGGGCTTCTGGGCATCAAAGAACAGAGGCGAGAAGAGGCACCTTCAGCCTCCTGCCCCCTCTTTTCTGCCTCCCCTCTGGCCCCCCTGCCCTCCTGCCCGCCCGCCCAGCTACCCCAGGCTCCCTGCAGCAGAGTCCCTGCCCGGCCCCGGCCCCGGCCTCCAGAGCCCTCTCCAGCCCCAGCAAAGCCCCCCAGCTGTCAGCGCATGGCCGGGCCGGTCTCTGGGGCAGCGCCCTCATTCACATAGGCACCTGGTGCTCCTCCGGGGGAGACCCTGAGAGGCCCTCTGCATCCCCACGGACCAGAGGACTCCTCCTAGGCCCCAGTGAGAGGGCTTTGCACAGTGCTCCCCATTTCCACCAATTCTACCCGCTGCAGTCCCCCAACCGTGCTGGAGGATGCCAGGAGCATTTTCCTAGGGCCCCGTCATGGAAGGAGCCTCAGGAACATTCCAACGTTCACCCCCCCACCCCCACCCCAGCCTTCCCAGGCCACTGCGTGTGTCCAGCCCTCTTCCCACATCATCCGGGCACATCCCAATCTCCGTGCTTCCTTCCCGGCAACCCCTGCTCCGGCTGCTTCCAGCAACATTCCCAAAGGGCTCCTGGGAAAGGTAGAATGGCGTCTCCTCCCTGCTCTGATGCTCTCTCTGGGAAAGTCTGGGAATGCCCCCACCCCCCTCCCGTATTCTAGTGGCTCATGGAATCTGGTCGTCCTTCTGCCCGACGCCCCTCTGAGAAGTCCTCGACGCTCTCCGGCCTGGGCTTGGGGCTCAGCATCCACATTCCAGGGGCGCAGCCCTACCCCGGGGCCTACGGCTTCCCTCAGCAGTCCAGATGGTTTGCATTCTACTCCTACGGGCCTCGGGATGCCAGCGGTCCGCCCGGATGTGCGCGCCAAGGGCACGGAGCAGCCACACTTCCATTGGTCACGGTGTGACCTTCTGGAAGATGGTGCCGACAGCCGGGAAGCCAGCCACCTGGGAGCTCCCCTCTCCTCACCCCGCGCACCAGTGCAGTCAAAGGTCCAGGGGTAGGGCCGGCTTCAGGCGTAGCTTGATTCAGACGTGCCAAGAGCCTCCCAGGGCCCAGTTTCTCCATCTCCATCTCTTGCCTTCATCTCCTTCCCTAGGACGATTCCCTTGTGGCGAGTTGGCTGGGTGGCTTCAGGTCTGTGGGAATGAGGCCATGCCTCAGTTCTAGAAGCTTCTGAGAAAGTCTCCAGCCTCCTTGGTTCTGACTGGGCTGTCCCTGTGGCCGCGGAATGGCCATCCCTGATGGGCTACTGAGGTGGGAGAGTCGCCCCACTAGAAGCAATGGGACCAAGAGTGAGGGACCTTGAGGTACAGTTACCAAAAGGGGGCCCCAAAAGGACAAGCATGGCCCCCATCCTAGACCAACATTTGAGTTCCTTCCTCCTCATCCGGCAACCCGAGTGAGACCCCACCCCCAGACCCAAGTGGTCCTTTCTAGTGAGAATGGCCATGAAACACCATGGGCTGACGCCGTCCGAGTCTGACTTCGGCTCAGGTCATGATCTCGCAGTTCGTGGGTTCGAGTCCCGCGTCGGGCTCTGTGCTGACAGCTCAGAGCCTGGAGCCTGTTTCAGATTCTGTGTCCCTCTCTCGCTCTGCTCCTTCCCTGCTCATTCTCTGTCTCTCTCTCTCAAGGATAAATAAACATTAAAAATTAAAAAAAAAAAAAAAAAAGAGGCACCGGGGTCCTGATGATGGAGGAAGGGAGTCTTCGAGGCCTCAGGGACCCGAGGAGGATCCCGGAGGGGAGGCTTTGATCTGAGCCTTGAATGACGGTCAGGAGCTGGACTGTGGGGGATGGAAGAAAGGGTGGGGAGAATGTTTCAGGCAGAGGAAACAAACAGGTGAAGCAAAGACAAAAGAATGAGGAGCAG